AGACAGCAATAAGCCTAACAGAATGCCTTTGGAAGCCCAAGTGACCCAGGAAGAATGTGCAAAAACTAAACACACAAAAAAAGGATTCGAACCCGCAAAGCTGGAGGTATCTGGATGTAGTGGCAGCCACAGAGTCACGGTCCAACACAGATTTTGTAACACAGATTCAACTTTGCTTTCAAAGCCAACTGAACACCCATCTAACGTCTGGCCCAATCACAGCATTTTCCTCTGGAGAAAGGAACCAATAAGAAGAAAGGTGTCTATAACCATAGGAGACACTTTCAAACTAGCTTCCACTGGATATAGATCAAATGAACTGATGGAGACACCTTATGAATAAAGGGCATGACTAACAGACCAAAGACCAGAAAAAAAAATGCTTATGCTCAAAGAGGCCAGTCTGCCAGTGCTCTAAAGTCAAATGGCATTGTTCCAAATATACAGCACGGCACCACACACAGCACTACAGCGTACTGAAAAGCACCGTTTAGATTTGAATATTAGATGGAGCCCATTATAGGTTTACCTCAAAGACCCAGCGAAGGCAATCGGCACTCATACGTCGTATTACTAAAACGTTGATTCTCTCGATTACGTTTGGAGTGTACGGCCAGGAGACAGATAAATTATCTGATATTGTATGCGCATAATGACATTTAAATTCTACTCCTCGAATACAAGACTATCCCAGTTTTTTAGATGTAGAATAAAAGACCTTATTATATTCGGGCCAATACGGTAGGGGAAGAAGAAAGTGGCATTTGGGAAAGTAAACGGACCCTTCTGTCTCAGAAGACAGCAGTCAGAACGCAGCAGGGCTCTTCGGATTAATTACATTTTAATTAATAACATCTTTCACCATTAGTCACTGCACAAAACATGTCAGACAGCCTGCAGCATCCTGCTTCAGACAGAGGTCTGACCCAGGTTAGCCTGGAGAACCGGAGGCACAGATTAATGAAGTGAAGGCACTTCACTACACACGCAAAAAAACCAGTACACCGAACTGAACAAATAATGGCAGAAAAATGTGGGGAAGTACGCAATGGAGAGAGATTGACCATTATAATGTATACTGTAATACAATTTGATGCTAATATTAAAACCCAGTTGTAAAACTAACTTTGTGTTAGGCAATTCCAGCATTACGGAGGAAACATTTAGACTCATACTGGCAAAAAAAATGCCTCAGAATACAGCTAATTTGCATATCTTCTCATGTAACTTCGTGGTTACCCTCAAATGTACACATTACAACTATACAGCATTGTATTAGTGTTTTGAATGTGACAGACGGACCACTACATGGAATTGTTTATGAAATTGCTGTCAACAAACCCATTAAATCCTCAAATTCAGTTATATAAACATCACGAAATCTTGTTCACCGGCATTAAACAAACCAAGTGGATCTTTCAAGCATCCTCCTAGGCTATGGTTGTTGCCATGGAAACCTCTTGACAGAGATATAGCCATGACAGATTACAAGGACCTTAAAATAACATTCCCAGCCCTGCACTGAAAAATGCTGATTCACCCAAAAACAGAGATAATGTTTCAACTTTCCTTGCTGGTTGCTGGAGTCACCTTTTGACCAAGGAGTCTTACAGTTTCAGTACAAGCCCACACAAAACTTCAAAACTAGATTTCCACAAGAACTGTCGGCATGATGCTCTTGACCCATCCAAAAAATAAAAATAAAAAAACAAACTAATATTTTAGAGCTGGGAGGAAGCAAAAACATGGACCATCTGTGGGTCCTGGAGAACCAGGTTAGGAGACACATGTCTTTCCTGATGGTCTCAGAAAACCAGGTTCACAGGACACAACCTGTCATTTATTACAAATGAGAGGTGAATATAACAAACAAACCTTAGAGGTTTTTTTGCAAACGATGTGATGAGACGTATTGATTTTATATGCTTTTGTTAGTCAGCGTTTTAAAACTGCTGGTGGCAGTGAAGGAAGATGTGGAATTAAAATTTAAATAAAAATGAGAGACAGGCATTATGAAAACAAACGCGTAGTCAGGCATTTTTCCCAGAGGCATGCAACAGCAGAGAGGGGAAATTCCTTACAGGGACTGACACAGATCCATAAAAAAATAAGTTAAATTCCACAAAAGTGCCAAGGGCAAACATATTGCCTTAACCTACAAAATAAATGGCAATTTGGAATCAATAATCTCTAAAACACACATAGAAGTCAAGTGAAATATTCTGTAACTCATTCTGCATTAGAAAGGCTCTCATTCCCATTGTAGGCTGAATACGAAACTAACCAGCTAGTACTGAAATACAACAATTGGCAAAGGAGTGTGCAGACAGAAAGGACAACATTTACAAGGGGAAATCACTTTGCAAGAATGAACTGAATACAAACACACTAGAACTATTAGCATAATTGTGAGAAAGACACAAAATGGAATTAAAAAAAGCACAAACAGCGGAATTAACAGAACTCGGCCATCTTATGGTTCAACAGGACAGCAGATTAAAATCAGAAGGTGAAATGTAAGATTAAATGTTTGTTTTGACTCTTGAATGTAAAACAGCTAATCAGACGTACTGGATGCCATCTCACATCTGCAACTTCAGCCAAATGGCATCCTCCGCCTTGAAATTTAACACTTAAAACAGAACACTACAGTTTACCACTGTCCTCAGATGCGCATCATTACCCCAAAATAATTAAAGGGTACATATCCAAACAACTGGCAAGACAGGGATTACAAGGAGAGCTGAAAAACTCAGATAAGCAGCTTGGGGTGTTTCACCTCGTACGGAAATATCATTTAAAACAAAGATCAGCATTAAAATAACGGTAAGGATTTTTTATCCATATACAACTACATAAGAAAAACCACTCAGCAATATATTGCTTTCTTATTAAGTGGCACTTTACCTACACTAACATTGATATAAACGGAATGCATTTTAGTAAGAAATCACACCAAGCATCTTCTGATAAATTTCGATCAAAGCTAAATACAAATGTTTTAAGGATTTCGGGCAGATACTTTTCTCAATCGAAGTTACAGTTATGACACTAATTTATAAGACATTTATAAATAATAATCGTGAAATTCTACAGCATGTTCCTTACCAACTGTTAAAAATATACTTAACGGCTTATAGTGTGAAACTCATTAATAATGTAAATGCATAGCCAGATCGAGCACAGTGAATTGAAAAGGACCCAAAACACAATATTCGACTGTATAGGATGTGCACCTTAGCGCACAGCCTCGGCACCGGTTCCCAGACCCACGCAATGCTCACCTATACTGCGCAGCAGCGCCGTGCGTAAACCCAAAGTAGTTGCCGGTAGCCATTTTGGCATCTTCACCTAGCCGGCTGGGCACTGCGGAAAGACGGATGCATGAAAAATGACCACTCGGCGAGAAAGCCCAGCTAGCCGGCATTGCAGTACGGGGTCTCATTCGGCACACTGAGACGCCTCCCAAAGGATGCGTTCATCTCATCGTTACTGTCACTCACAAACCTCAGCACGCGATTTTTATATCAATTTACGTTTTATATGCGTACCACATAAATGTTTATACGCATTTAACTCACCGTAGGTGAAAGAGACCACAGGACATATGGGTATCATTGGTTTCCTGCTCTCCAGCGCACTCTGACTCCTAACCCCTTTCTCATTCGCGGCGCGCCGCGGCGTCGCACAAGAAACGGTTCAGCAAGAAAAGGCGCGCATGCGTGTTGCGTGTTTGAAGAAAATCTGGGAATTTCAAAATGATCTATTTTTTAACCTACATTCCGTATAGGCTCGTCTGATACAAAACACATTATGTTAAATTGCCTTATATGTTGTAACGTTATATCATATTATTAATACCACAATTTTTTATTGTTTTTTTTAAACACAAGTACACAAGTGGTTGTTCGTTTGTTAGAATGGGATCCGTGTAGTATGGTATAATATTGAATACTTCTTCAATTTCTTCCTGAAGATTATGAAATACGTGTCTTTGTCCATTCCCAGGGCTGTAATGGGATTAAAAATTGGCCCTGGACTTTGAGGACCCCACAATATTTTTTTCTGAATGGCCCCATGATAACATTTGCTAGGGAAATGTCTGGTGTTCCAGGTGGCCATCGATCGCAGCCCTGTCTCTCCCCAGCATATATTTCCTTATCCATATTCTACTTACTATTATCTCCTTGTCCTGGTTGGGGTAACAGGGGGTCTGGAGTCAGTCCCAAATGACACAGAGCACAAGTCTTGAGTCGGATGCCAGTCCATCACAGGGCACATACAAGCACACACTATGACCAACTTATATGCATGATATAGTAACTGTATGTCTTGGAAGAAACCCGCGTGACACAGAAAAAACATGTGATCTTAACATAGACACACGCACAAACACAACCCTGGATGTGTGATGCAACAGTCCTACCGACTGAATCACAATGGATATCCTTCTGGGTCCATCCATCTATCTATCCTCCCAAATGCCACACAGAAATTTTACTAATACATCTATCCTCTTTAATGCCGAAAGAGAATATATGCAAAATATATTCTGCTATGTTAACTCATCAAATTATGTTGAAGTACTTTACTGAATGTATGTAATATAAAATAGAACATGTCACTATTTACTATGTGAAGAGACATAAGTGCTAATCAATTGTACTAATGTGCTACTGCTAATCAATCTTCAAAAATGAAAATGACGTATAATTTATTTCGGTGTTACTGTGGAATGTCCATAGAAAATTAATGTTGGAAATTATAACCTTTTACGTTAAATCACTTTATTTTAAACATCAATTCCATTGTTATCCAGTGCACAGTTTCTTCCACGTTGCAAAGTAAAAAAAATACTTTTAAAATGCCTAAAATAATCTTTGCTGAACATACATGTACAGAATAAACAAAGGCACAAAAACAACCCACTTCATAAATACTGTGCATGAAGTTAATTACGCCATTGTAGCAACGCTCACACCGTGAAAAGACCGCAGAACTTAATTTCCCATGAGCTATGTAAAAGCACGTGACCCACTGTGGCCAATGGCGTCCCAGCTCTGAAAAAGTGGGTTAACGTCTGCGGGAAAGGCTGAGCGCCGCGCGTGAACACCATCTCAGACAGCAGCTCTATTACTCTCATGTAAGTAGGAATGATATTCTATTTTTATTAAAAAAAAAACTGTAATTTAGATAAGGGTAAAAGTGTGGAAAAAAACATGCGAACCTGTTTAACAAAAGCATTTATCAGCTGCGGCACTGCGAAATGTATTTCTACTGCGTTTGTTGAAGATGCGCTCTCCGTCTTCCTCTTCTCCTTTCTGCGTGTTTAGATAGCTTAACCTTATCGTAGCCTAGCCTAGCATAGCATAGCATAGCCTGCCGAAGAAGAACGTGCTTCCGCGGCACCGCATCGTCTCTTGCTTGCAGCCCATCCTGCCTCACAAACCCCGTTCATCTGCTCGGAACTGTGCGGTCGTTCAGACGCAGCGAGGAGGCGCGGTGGCCGGCTGCCGGAGGAAGCCCGCCCCGTCTCGGCGTCCCTGTCTCCTCGCGCGCGCTGCCTAGGCCGGCCGCGAATGGCGTAGCAGAAAGATCTGCTGGAAGGCTGTGACAAGGGCAGGTCTTCATTTTAGGCGATGCCTCAATGGCGAACATTACATTTGAGGATTCTTCTTATTATTATTTGCAATGCTTCCATGCAAAATATCCATTATTTTCTGGCTCTTTGATTCTGTTTTGCATAGCAAGATGCTGTGACGAAATAATTTTAGTACCTGTGTTAAGTGACTAGCTAAATGTGCACGCAGGTGACCAACAGATATTTGATGCAACTGGGTTCAGTTTACATGTATGTGCTATAGAAAAATGACACCCCTACCCATTTCTTGGATAACAATTTTCCAGTGATGCTACTCAGAGTGTATGAATGGTGTTTATTTTTATAATTGTGTCTGACCCGTCTTTGTTCAGCCAGTCAGTTTTCACCTTTGAAGGAATCGATCCTTGCGGTATCTTAACCTTTTCGGGACCTTCATGGACTTAGTAGAGTGGAATCATTTTAATTATTTACAATCATTTAATGAGCTTTCTATATCTTGTCAAGGCTGAAGAGATGCATTCTGGCTGTCATATCCAGATATAGGAATCCGTGCTGGGAAAATGAGGATTTGTCATTTGGTTTCTGGATGGTTTCTCGGTTTGGAAGATGAATCGTCTAGATGAGAGGGCAGCAGGTGATGCATTGTGCTCCACGACTAAACCATCCTGCCCTGTTTGTTTCAGAATGCCCAAGTCAAAAGAGGTGCTGTCGTCGTCCTCCTCTGGCAGTGACTCAGACAGTGAGGTCGAGACAAAGGTGCGCTTCCCCGTTTCATGCAGCTCCTGGCAGCCCTGATCCATACCTCTACACAACTTGCCAATGCCACACCTGTCTTAACATGCGAGCTCTTAACTGCCCTGACTGTTTGGGAGTATATCTGTTTCAGAGGGTAGTGTTTCTTGGCTGCTACTGGGTTTACACCCATGCAGACTGTATGGATTCTTTCAGGCGAAGAGGAAGGCTCCTGCAGCACAAGAGAAACCGGCAAAGAAGCAGAAGAGTGGCGAGAGCTCCCGGGCAGGTGGCCCCTCCAAAGGTGGCAAGAGCAAGGATGACAACATGTTCCAGGTGTGTACTGCGCAGTTCGGTAGGTTTGGGTTATATACCCAGAAGATAGTGGGTTCAAATCCCATGACAGGCAGAATAATCTAATTTATTTTGGCCCATTGAACATGTTGAATATGTTGCTTTGAAGAAAAACGCAACTGTAGTATGTTGTAGGCCATGAAGCACCATGATGTTTCTACTTACGTGTGGTGCACGTTTACCCAGAGCACCGAGGCCATCTGCACTTGTATCTAAAGGGATCTGCCTACTGCTCTGAAATTCCGTAAAACATATGTTACTGTTTTCATCCGCGTTGCATTATCGAGGCTTTAGCCACTGATTAACACCTTCTGTCCCCCCCCCCCCCCCCCCCGGATGCATGTGTGCCATTTGCCACCCAGATTGGGAAGATGAGGTATGTCAGCGTCAGGGACTTCAAAGGCAAAGTGTTGATCGACATCCGCGAGTACTGGATGGATCAGGAGGGAGAAATGAAGCCGGGCCGCAAAGGTAACTGTCCTGTAAGGCACCTGGAGAAACTCCCACTCTGGCAGGAATCATCTGTAATGAGATACTGGCTATTTTGGAGTATCTCTTTCAGAGTGTAGGGTTTCTTTACTGCTGCTGGGTTTACACTTGTATACATCATAACTGGCCAATACTTGTGTAGTTATGCAGGTGTAACTGATGCATTAGGGAAAACCAAGAAGCTGAACCACCTTTCTTGTTGTGACATTAGGGATGGTGGGACAGTAAATATTTATTTTGATTGTGCTTGTAACTGGTTTATTGCAGCAAGAAACATTCACTATAGTACATTATTCCAAAAAGAAATGACTGCGCATGGGTGACCTTCCTCCATTTTGTACATTTCCAGGCATTTCCTTGAATCCAGAGCAGTGGAACCAATTGAAGGAGCAGATCTCTGAAATCGATGACGCTGTGAGGAGAATATAAGCTTTATAGCCAGAAGATGGTGCTGTTTAGTTCTTCCTTTAGTGTTTTTAGATTTTACCACCAACCTTTACACTGACGTACAAGTGTTTTATAAAGGACTGATTTTTTTAAAAATGACTGGCGTGTTTTGCAGTTAATTTGACCTTTAACATTTTCTGCATGTGCCCTGTAGTGCGTTCTGTGCAACAGCAGTGGTGTGTTGTGTGCGTGTGCAAGGGTTGCTCAAGTTTGTGGGTGGGGGGGAGGGGTTGATCGAGGTCCCGGGCTGTGTAGAGGAGGTCTCGTATTAAATAAAGGCTACATAATTATTTTAGTTTTTGATGTTCTGTTGCGTGTCGACTCCCTGTCCTTGTGCCTGCCTTTTCTGGAGTGAATATTCAGATGCCTTGCAGCTGGGGATGGTTGCGGATTAAAACAATGGTTGAGAGTTTGTGTCCATTACTCCAAAATGGTGCCAAAAGCAGTTGGTATTAACCAGGAAGGTAAGCATGGGTGCCGGACATTTTGTGGCAGAGATGCACAGGAACAAAGGCTGGAGGAGTCTTTGAGGATTTCAGCGTTTTTGCACGACTGCATTGATGAACCAAGTAGGTCAACAGACAGTTTCAGTTCCAGTTTCCTGCTGGCTTTCGGTCGTGTGCCTAATGAGGTCTACTGCTCTTTCGTAATGTTTGGGTTTCTTAATCCAACTTAGCCCCCCGACCAAAACACAGTCCAGATGCCACACAGATGGTAAAATCCAGAAATGGGCATGTTTTGTACTGGGGTTATTGGTAGAGCAGATATTTAAGTCTTTCAATTGCCTATGCATTTTTTAAAAATAAATTTATAAACATATTTAATTCATTCATTTTCCACTGCTTACCCGGGGTCCCAGTCCAGCCCAGAGATATAATCTCCCCAGTGTGTCCTGGGTCTGCCCCGGGGTCGTCTCCAGGTTGGACATTCCTGAAACGCCTCCCCAGGAAGCCGGCCAGGAGGCATCCTTGATCGATGCCCGAACCACCTCAACTGGCTCCTTTCCACGTGGAGAAACAGCAGCTATACTCTGAGTCCCTCCTGAATGTCCGAGCTCCTCACTCTATCTCTAAGGCTGAGCCCAGCTATCCTGCGGAGGAAGCTCATTTCGACCACTTGTATCTGTGATCTCTTCTTTTGGTCACTACTCAGAACTCATGACCTTAGGTGGGGGATAGAACGTAGGTTAACATCTACATCTTAGGTCACATTCTGGGTGCGCTAGATGAGTGGTCTTCGTTGATTATTCAGTGTTTATAACGAAGCCTGAGAAATACTAACTAGCTGCACAAAAAAACTATAAGCAGGCTGTTATAACGAACACGTTCACGGTGTGAAGGTTAAAATATCTGGGATTTTCTTGTCATACCTGTATAAATATGTACTTTCATATGAATTTGCCTGTTATGAAAAAGAATGGCCATGCATTTTAACCATTATACCACACGTGTACTTTTGTACCAGTTCCCTGGCTATAATCTGCGATCAGAGGATTGTTTGTAAAAATCATCTCCTGCATCCAGACTGATAAGACTTGATTGGTATAGTTCTAAAACGTGGCCTTTCTAAAACTGACAGGAATCCTTACACCAACGATTCTCACTGGGTTTTAACCGTATCAAAAACGAACATAAAGGAGCAAATATCTGTTTGAAGTGGAGTAATGACCACAAGATGGCAGCCTTTGCGCAGTTTACATGTACATATTTTAACGCCAGATGGCGCTATGTGTTTCTTATAACTTAGTTTTACCTGTTTAGAAAATTCAGAAATAAACAAGAGTGTAGACACCAACAAAAGGAAAGTCTATTTTATGCCACAATCGTTCGAGGATGTATGTCAATCCATCTGGTCATGCGTTCATGCTTATTCATTCATGATTATTTTGATTTTGGATGTCTAGAAAGAGAATTAAAATCATGCTGTAACATTTCAACGATAAAGCTCTGTTCCAACTTCCCCTTTTTATTCTTCCTGAGGTTTGGCGTGTTTTTGTGTGCTATAGGCAGTTACATGGGTGCTGGTCGTATAAGAGAGCCCCAACCCACAAATCTGCCTTTACTTCCAGTATCTAATCATTACAATGCATGTAACTGAATTGGAGCATTAGTCCACCGGCTTATTAAAACAAAACAAAGTGCCCTTCTTGAAGGCTTTAAACAGCAATCCAAATTTAATGAGGACTGTGTGCTGAAATGTCAGTCTGAGGCAAAGTGTCTATGGTTCTGTAAGCTAGGGACTATATCACAAATATGCGGTAGACACCTTAGAGTATGAGTCCCCCATATTCATGTGTGAGATTTCAGGAGCCCAGGCAGCCTGCAGACACCTGAAGAGCTGGGGCCGCAGCCCGAGCGCTGGCTGTTTTGAAAGGCTGCCTTTCTCATTAAGAGAGCGTTTCACCAGAACGGATTTTATGATTGACTGAACCATGTGAAGTGCATTACTGGGGTTGGGGCGAGCAAATGTGTTCAAATGGCTCAGGTCGCCGATGCCTCCGATCTTGAGTGCCTCACATCTGCTTCGGTTTGAGCTCTCTAAAGCCCAGCAATCACAGTTGCCCTTTGAAGTCTGTGGTTTTTTTTTTTTCTTCTCTCATTTTTTTTAAGGTTGCCGTTCATGTCATTGGAAGCCTGGCATGAAACATCTCTGTTTGCTACCTCATACTCAGCACTCTGGTTATTTATCAAAAGAGGACAGATTTTAAGGGGCTCTTCATTAGTCCCTGTTCTAAAATGACACAAGAAGTGAGAGGAATGTATTTTAAAAAACCAAATAATAAAAATTTCTCAGCACATGACGGAATGCTCATCTTTCCGAGGCTTTGCTTCATCGCGGCTCATATAAAACGTGTTGGTTCATGGAAGTATTGCATTCTTCCTTTGATATGTGGAATGCGTATTGATCATGACCTGTTCACAAGGATTCTGTATGACGCAAAGGCCATTGGCTGATTGGTTAGGCTCTTTAAACCATCATACCGCAACAACGGGGGCATTGTATCAGAAAATGTAAAACCCTGGGGAGAGTTTAAAAAAAAATTTGGCCCTGATGGGATCATTCATCTCCAACTTTCGCTTTCAGGCGATATTTTCCACAGATTATTCAGATAACACATTTTCCATATGAACCCATTTAAGACTATCTTTGGGGGAAAGCCAGCATTTCAGCAAGGCAATTTAGGCCCTTAGGGTATCGCAATTACTATCGAGAATTTTTTTAATTAGTCAAATTATGGATATTAACGTTCCCAGATATGTGAATGTATTTCTTAAAAGAAAGTGGGATTATTTAACATTGCCTCAAAATGTGCCATATAGGAAATGTTTTAAAGAAAAGTATGACTTACAGCAAGGTAATGAAAACAAATATATCAAGTTTTTATGACAATTTTTAAGTTTATGAGAAGTAAAAGCTGTTCAGTAATCAGGCCTTAGTTGTTCAGAAGGAACTTGTACGTAGTATTATCTGATCAGACAGGAGCCCAAAACTTTGATGAATTTGAGATGTCAGGGGATCATTTCAGCAGTGAAATACTGAAATGACTTGTCAGCCTGTGTGGGGGTGTGATCTTTCATACTGACTGCCGTGTCTCGGAAGCATTTAATATCACACTCCAGTTTGATGCAAACGTAGTGTGGAATTCCCTGTGTCAGGAAGCAATGTCCATATAACCACATAACACATGAGTGTAGAATTCCATCCCCTGGTGGTGCCGAGACATTTGTGCTGCTGCCAGATCGCATGCCTGATCGCATTCAATGACGCATGTTCAATGGCTCTTTATGCCTGCTTCCATCCAGGTAACAGTGGCAATTCGTCATGCTGCAGTTCGCCATACGAGGGTAACAGGTACAATATGGAGGAAAGCTTGTCATACCCAGACCAAGAGGCTAGTGTGATTTTCCATTCTGCTGGCTGAAGCAAGATCTGATGAATGTAAGGTGAAGCCTAAATTTGTGGTGTTGTATGTGTCATGTGACTCTCCCTGCTGGCCCCTGGAGGATGGGCTCCCCCTTTGAGTCTGGTCCCTCCCAAGG